GCGTCATCAAACAAATCACCGCAACGCCAAAAACCCGTGCATGTACATTCTAATTTATTAACGCACATAAATACGTTTCAAGCATATCTTAATACAGTATATTGGCGCCATATTGGTTTTCGGTTATCTCGATCATCGGTTATCTCGACGCTTTTTGGCAACCCCTTAGGCCGGCGACATAACCGGGTTCGACTGTATATTAGCCAACGTACACTAAAAAGTAAACGCACTGATAGCTACACTGGGATTCTTGCTTTAAGAATTTTTGTAACAAATTTTAGTACAGTATAATTTAAAATTTTAGATAATCATTGGCGGGCCAATCTAAATAGTACGGCGGGCCAACCTTGGCCCGCGGGCCCCACTTTGGGCACCCCTGATTTAGGTATTTCTTCATATGTGAATGAGGCGGTCAGTCACGCTCTTCTGTGATGTCATAACTGCATAACTTACATCTTCCTCAAAGTCATTCTCTACGAGAGTCTGTCTCCGGTCAAATGGTATTGTTTCCGGAGTTTCCTTCAGTGTCCGAGATTGGATGTAGGCTTATTAAGTTCATTGGGATTTGTAATTATTTCATATACTTTTTGTAGTAAATCATCACCACATCTTCGTAAAATTATTATATTTTCTCCAATTTACATATTATAACCAACTGAGTTCGCAGTGGTGAGGACATTTTGCACTGCTCGGTTAGCACAGTTACAAGTAGTGGAGAGTGAAGGGCAGACAACTGCAGAGCCAAACGAACTTGGGTGAGGGTGAAGACTATCGCTACGGAACTGAATAATATTGTGATATTAGTCACCTTTGTGCTGTTACGCATCCAAGTAATTTAAAACTGAAGACCCCCCACCGAAATTGTATTTCTTTATTTTTTGTGCTTGAAGTTTTGATATTGCATTAAAGTCATATCTCAAGCCCTCTTCTCTATCCATTGGGGCTCTTTGTAAATCTTGGGTCAGACATTTAGAATAAAATGGCTTTTTGCTTTAAAAAGGTTGCCGATGTCTGATCTATATGACTAAGTAATACGTAATATTAACACCTGAAAAAATCCCTTAACGGTAAACGTTGAATAAATTCATGATTTAATTTGTGATTAACTATGGACAGCTGTGCGATTAATCACGATTAAATATTTTAATCTATTGACAACCCTAATATAAATATAATAAATGATCATCCTAAACTTAGAATAAAACCCTCAGATCTGATAAAGTCCAAATTCTATCCATGAAACATTTCAATAACTGAACATTTAGTAAAATTACAAAGATGATCATTTTGATGATGTTAAAATACTTAAAAAGCTGACAGCTGTATTGTATCACTTTAAACAGCATTTCAGCCTACTTAGCAAGTGACAAGAGGGAGGAAGAGCTTGGTAATGCAAAGCACAATTTTTCTTGAAACTGAAATTATGAAACCACAATGCCCTAATAACCCACCCCCACACCGCCATTATGGGAATGCATATGGGTATGCATGCCATATGCTTTTAAAATACTTTTAATATAAAATTAGATTTTCCCAGATATACAGTGATTTTACAGCACAAATTCACAAAACATGGATTTTTAACAATGGCAATATTCTTTATCATATGTTGCCTTGCACACACAGTGGCAGTGAATTTATCAAATGGAAACATAGACCAACTTATTACTAAACACCAGGAGTTAGGGTTAGGGTTAAAAGCATAGTCAATCCTTTCACTGGCAAACCAGTCTGATGGCACCTTCACTATGTAGCTATTCTCAAATCTGCCTTAAAAATATGCACATGCAGAAATTAGAAAGAAAAGTAAAAAGCGGGAAAAAAAAATCACAGGACAATTAGGAATCAGAACATAATGCCACCTGATGGGGAAAGACCACACTTTTCTGCCCCAAGCACATGAATAGGACATTCCCTTAACTGTTATTTGTGAACTAATAGCATAATAGCAACAGTTAAGAGCTTTAAAAACAATACAGAGGCTGAACAAGGTTTTTTTTTTTTTTTTTTACAAAAGCACAAACAGTAGATACACTTAAGCATTTTGCTTTAGGGGTGCAACGATTATTCGACATTGTCGACAAAACAAATACTCACCAACGAATTTGATTGTTGATAATTGCTGCAAGACGTATTTTTAAATGGAGAGACGTTTTCCTTCCTTTCTACCTGTGCAATACTACCGCTTTCCAATAGAGTGCACCAATACACCACACTCTGGTGAGATTCGCTCTTGCGCAATAGCATTCAGCGACAGGTATAAAAATGGTGGCCACAAATCTGGCATCATCGCTCTAAAGTCTGGGACAATTTCACCCTAGATAAGGCAAAGAAAAAACTTATTTGCAACATTTGCAAAGCGGACTACTTCAGTAATGCATGAGCATTTGAAGAGGAGGCACATTGGATATCTGGACGAATCAGAATTGGACTTGCCACGGTAAGATATTAGCTTGTACGCTAAATTGTGGCGTGAATGTACGTTGTACATTGTTTTTTGTCTTTTATGACATTTATGCAGTACAAAAGACGACCATGGATGGTTTTCTGCTAAAGAAGCAGACGTGTACTCCACAGCAGGCAACTGCGCTCACTGAGTCAATACTAAACATGTTGATAAAAGACATGAGACCACTCTCCGTGGTTGATGGTGAAGGGTTTCAAGAAGAAACTTCAAGAGCAAATCTTCTCTGCAACAGGGAATATCTGCTCTCAGAAAAGAGCAAGCCTGACCCGAGACCAGGTTGAAATGCTGACATTCTTTAGTATGAATAAATTGTTATTGAAATACCCTTATGTTGTAACTTGTTACAGAATGTTTTGCACTGTTTTACTGCTGCTAATGTGCCTGTCCTTGGCTTATAGAAAAAAAAGTTATTTTTTTACGTTGTTTGGAAAATTGACAGTTTTATTTATATCAGCAGCAAACTATTAAAATATGTTTGTGAGTGAAGTATCTTGTCTTTATTATTTACCACATAATTTAAATAACCTCATGCTAAATGTAAAAGCTGGTAGCTAAATAGGACCCATTTTATAATTATGCAATTTATAATCCGATTAGTCAACTAATACTTTTAATAGTCGTTTTTTTGTCTATTTTGCCTCCATAGTGACTTGCACATCTGATGTGATCATCGCGCTTATTCATTATGCAAATAATAATAAACAGAAACCAAGATTTTTTTTGTGGATGAAGGTATGTTCATTCACCATACCCGATATACCATTCAGCATTTACAGCAACAAGTAATTTCTGAGTACACCAAAAAATACAAAGAATTAGATTTAAGTTCTTAGAAGATTTGCACCTAAAAATACCCTCAAACTGTAAACTGTAAAAGAATAAATTTTTTGCTGAAGATTTAAAGCAAAGTCCAGTCAATAAAGGTACTTCATGAGACTGCAGCTGTAAAGGAATAAGGTTTAAACAAACACATGGCAGAGTCTTGCCATGGCCATTAACCAGAAGAGGATGGAGTATGCCAATGTGAAGGTGGGTGGCAGTGAATTGGGATGATCAAAATTAGCGCTTTGTTCTACTCTGCTTTGTCTGCATGCACATGTATCACCAATCTTCAAAGACCTCATGCAGAGAGCACCAAAAAATAATACAGCAGCCCCAAGATCAAACGTCATTCTTTGATAACATCAATGAGGTTGACTGCCCATTTGCTATCCACGTCGCATCTCTTGTAGCCAAGCAAACTGTGGGGGTAGAGGACCAAGGGAGCAAGGGGAGGTGGGTTCTAATAGTTATTATATATAAGAAACTCAGGAGAAAGACGACCATTTTAGTTAATTGGTATCGATGTAAAGACCCCCATTGGTTACATATTGGACTTCTTAAAAATTATTGCTAGACTGCTGTATTAGAAATTTATTTAAAATGCAGTCAAAATTTAACCCCCACAAGAATTCTTTAGGAAAAACTGTAGCAAACTGAACCCCATGACTTGATTAGCTCAATCAATCAGCACTAAATTCTACTAAATGGACTGAAATGACCAGGGCTAGTGGCACTTGAAAGATTGACATCCTCTGTAGCAAGTAATTTCATCTTGCCAAAAACCAAAGGAATAAGTCTGCACCTCAGAAAAAAGGTAGTGGGTGCCCATTTTAATGGGTATGGCTATACTACCATTTCCAAGCATTTAAAAGCATTTAAAACAGCTGAATGGTGCATCATCACAAAGTACAAGGAGACAGTCTGTTAGAATTAAACCTGGACATGTTTGGAAGTGCAAAATATCAAAGAATTTGGAGAGGAAGATTTCACAAAGAATCCCTAGATCTCTGTAAAGAAAGTCTCTGAACTAGTCTCTTCTGGGCTTGAAGTCTCAAAAATTACTGTTGTGAGGACACTTCATCATGGTGGGCTTCTAGGTCATCACCCAAGGAAAATTCCACTGCTCACACAGCAGCAGATTTAAGCCAGACTGAATTTTACCTGGGACTATTTGAAACATGGTGAAGAGTTTTGAAATTCTCCCCTTTAGTCCAATGTGACAAAACCAGTACTGTTTGGGCACACGGATGTTGCTTTTATCTGGTAATGGAAGGGAAGCCTTCAATCATACAAGCAGTGTTTCAAGGTAAACATTGTGTTGGGTGCATAATGCTATGGGGTTGATTTGCTGCTTCGGGCACAGGAAACCTTGTCATGGGATCATGAAGAAATTTTTAAAAAAACATTTAGAAGGATAATATGAAGAAATATGCCGCCAGTCTGCAGACTTAAAGTACACATCGAAGCTGGTCCAGAACTTTTTGAATGACACCAAAATCAAGGTCCTGGAGTGGCCTTCTCAAAGCCCAGATCTCAATTTCACTGAGAATCTTTGGTGGGATCTCAAGGTTGAGGTTTATGCTCAAATCATCTCATGTGGATGAGCTGGAGCAATCTGCTATAGAGGGACTGGCTAAGATCCCTCAAGAGACATTTGTCAACATTGTTAGGATATACAGTAAGAGGCTGCCCCCAAATGTAAGTCAGAATGGGTACACTATTGACTTAATTGTCAGATGGGTAATAATTTTGGCTTGGTCATTTTTGTTTCAAAAAACATCATTAAAATATAATACGTCATTAAAATTTCATCAATTTTAGCAGAAGATCTAGAGATGCAAAGAATTTCTCTTCTTTTGGAAGTAATTATCTTGTAAATTTGTTGGTACTAGTAATTTCCTTGAAAAGCTAAAAAGGCTGTTTTGAAATTTCAGAAAGGGGGGGTTAACAATTTAGTCCTTAACTGTAGAAGACATTCCCTGACAGATAATTAACTTTTGGAGATGGGATTTGGTCCAACCTATATAATTTTATCCTAACAGGTTATATATATATATCAATAACTATTTTATTAAGCCTGGAGCCAATCCAAAGAAACACAATGTGTGACAGAACATACACACTGGACAGCATGCGCTCACACTAACACTGACATGATAATCAACAAAGCGACTTGATCCGCACCAGGACAGCATATTACAATTCACACCATGGCCACTTGATATTATACAGTAAGCTAGTCAATACAGAGACTAGTTAGCACTGAGGCAGGCTACTATAACGGCAAATGAACTCACCAATACTTATTTTCATCACGATATTGAACCTTACAACTGCCTAATTGCCAATATTGACTGAAAGCTTGAAGCTTTGTAGTGTTGTTTATCAAAAAGAATATAGTCATTAGAAAAAACACAGCTCCTTCTTGCATGTAACTATGTATGAGTAATTTTTATTTTTCATCAATATACGATTAAAATGATCAAATACTTTTGATTGCTAAAGAAATCTGCAGTAAAATATCTATAATCTGTAGAAAAAAATGCTGCAGTTACCCCAATGTCAGGAAAACAATTATAAAAGTGTCAAATAAATAAATAAATATCTTATAAATTACCTTTAACATATCAAGGGTGGCGCTTGGCAAACATAGGATGCAATTCCCTTTAGAGGATCAAATAAAGTAAAGATATATACCTTAATTCAACCATCTCAAAAAAGGTAAACAAAGCAAAAGTAAAGTGGGCATTGCTTTTCCACTAAGCAATAAAGGTCTTAATGACCTTTTGGATAATCTGGCCACAGCTAGGGCAGGGAGCATGGAACTTGTGCAGTTTGCGAGCGCAGGAGAAGCATGTGATGAGATGTGCCGTGCGGCCGTGGATGATGTTGCCATTGCGGGGTCTCACACGACATAGCTTGCAGGGCTCCAGCAGGGCCTCCGGCCGCTCATCCATCTCCATCTCCAACATGTCCTGGCTGTCCCCTTCTGAGCTCCCCGGGCCCTCCGAGCCACCCCGTTTTGGGTTACCTGGGAGTTGTAAGTAACTCCTGTCCTTGCTGTAGGAAAGTGGTCGGTTGAGAGAACTATGCAAGGGAAGGATCACTGGGTCAGACACCGTCCGCCGGCAGTCAGGCACATCGATATCATCATTACTCTTGGCAGCCTCCTGGCTGCTGCTGGTGATGGGCAGGTCAGGCACAGATACAGCATGAGCGAGGCGGGGACAGTCCTTGTACCAGTCCCGACGCAGAGCCCAGCAGTGCATGCAGTACCGCTGCAGTGAAGAGTTGCACTTCCGACATTCGGTGCACTGCCAAGCATCCTGAGAATCATGGGATTCATGACATTGAGTCTAATCGATATCAATTAAACAACAATACTGTTTAGTGGCTACCATTTCAAATAAACACTGCTTATAATAAGACAATTTATACATATACACTACAGAGTCAAAAGTTTTTGCACACAGATTTCCTACATTTGCATGTTACTCACTTAACATTTAATAAAAATGCACAATATCAATATTCTTTGCTAACAAATAAATTTACAATATGGTCACCATTTGAGTACTTTGATTCATCAAAGTAACCTCCTTAAGAAATTACAGCAGAGAAAATTTGTGGCACTCTTTCTACAACGGACAAGAAACATTGCTGTTTCATGAGATGAAACTGTTAACTAGTGCAATTCAAGTTAATGGGAAGCCTAGAATTTGATTATGCCATCACCACACAACCAGTCAATAGGATGTTAGATGTGCACTGTTACATTCGCTTTCCATGTTATAAAGGAAACTTATTTGATTTTTATTTTAATTTATAGTTCCCATTCAACTCTCCAATGTTTAACAAGAATTAAATAATTGGAAGAATGATAAAAACCTGTGGTGTGCAAAAACTTCTGAATGGTATATAAAGGTTATATAAATGGATTAAGTAGCAGGGTTTAAGTAGTGATACTTTCTACATAGTAAATATTATGCAGTCTCACAACCATTTTTAAGGAAGTATACAGGAGAACAGACCTGGGTCAAGATCTCTGTATCTGTATCATCACTCAGGCACTGGGAGTCCTCATCTAAATCTTCTTGCATCTGAAATAAGTCAACTGTGATCCAAAGGTCTCAATCTCAGATCCTACAGGGGCAGATCTATTGCCAAAGTCTGACTATTTGCTGAACTGACACAAAGCCATTACACACCTCCTTGTCCTCCTTTGCCCCTTCTTCTTCCTCATGCAGCTCGCCGTCACTCCCCGGATGAAGCACAGTCTCCTTCATCTCTACACTCACCTGCTCACTCTCTGCTTCGTTCAAGAACCAAAGATCGTCCGTGGTGTCAGACACTATGGCCGTGTCTTCATCCTGCGCAAGGGAGAGCTCTTTCCTCAGTTTAGTTGTGTGACCATTGCCAAAAAACTGCCATTTATACTCACCTTGGGGCAGCAGAAACCAAATTAGGCACAAATATTTTGGTAACATTTTATCTGGATAGTCTGCCTACAGAGCGTATGTGTACAGAGTATTTGTAACACTTCAATAACTTAGTTAAGATTCAATAATTCATAAAACATCAGTTCAGTGAGGTCAAATTGAAATTATATGAAGGTACTTTCACGAATCATTACATATACTTTATATAATGTATAATCTTTTAAACATCTACAGACGAGGGATGTCACGATACCGAAAATCTAGTTGCCGGTACCCATACTATTAGTTACATGATTCTCGATCAGTCTCAGAATTCAATACCAAAAAAAAAAAAACCCATTTAGTTAAACTTCTTTATTTTTTCCAGTGGCTGGAGTGCCAATCCTGCCACCAACCCCCAAATTTTCCTTGAATGCCAGAGGACCTGCTTGCAGGGCTGGATGTAGGTTAATGTCATAACCTGCAATTGCTTCATCCTGGGTAACAGCCTTGCTCAAGGGTCCAACGTAGTAGAACCACTCCTAGCATTCATGGGATTCGAATTAAGCAACCTTTCAAATGCCGGCACAGATCCTTAGCCTCACAGCCACCTCTCCGGCCCTAGTACAGTACTAGTACTACAACAATTTTTTGTTGATGCAGCAATGACTCCTATGAATTACAACATTTTTTTATGGCTTTTTGAACAGTTGAAAGTTGCAGTTTTTAACTTATTCATCATATTTGTGTCTCATTAAATGGGTCACACACACACAGTACTTTCCAACCACTATCTGCGAACTATGGTATTTTTAATTTGCAAATTACCATGCACCCCATGGTATTGCTAACAATGCCTAACAACTAATCGGGCTAAAACTTATGCCAAATCTTTTCCACTCTCCGAATTCCTTCCCCTGTGACGTATTGCTCAGCTGTAGGCTGATGATGCAGTTTTAAGCATGAAGTTCAGCCTAAGTGCCGCAGCAAGGGTCACATCAATAATTAATTAAAACACTTTTAAAAAATTATACACATTTTATTAAATCATTTACATTTAGCTTGACAGTACAACAAACATTTTATTAGATTGTAAATGTAAAGTTAGCTTGATAGCAATGTTCACCCTTACTGCTGCAGCAAGAGTTCACATTTTATAAAACACATTTACAATTTTACAATTTTTTAAAAGTGTGTCTTTATTAAGAAATTATTTGCATTTAGCTTGAAAGTACAACCAACCTCTTATTAGATTATGAATTAACTGCAGTTCTACGGGATAAAACTTATCGTTATCAAGCTAAATGTATACTAATCTAATAAAACGTTGGTTGTGCTATCAAGCTAAATGCAAATGATTAGCCATGTGTAGTTTCTCCTGTGCTTGTAGGCATCCTTCTTCTTCAGCATGTACATTGGATATAAAAAGTGTATACGCCACTGATAAAATGCCAGATTTTTGTAATGTAAAATAATGTGACCACGGTAAATCATTTCAAAACTTCTCCCAATTTAATGTGACCCATAACCTGTACAATTAAATTGAAAATCAAATAGGCTGGTTGCATAAGTGTGCACACCCTGAAACTAATACAGTGGTACCTCGGTTCTCAAACTTAAACTGTTCTGGACTCTGGATGGAATCCTAAAAAATTTGAGTTCTGATCGAATTTTTCCCATAAGAAATAATGGAAAACCAATTAATTGGTTCCCAGCCCCCCAAAATTACACCTAAATAATACACAAAATGAACAGGATACAACAAGAAGAGCACTTTTTTCTTAATGGCTTCCAAAACGATGAAGATCTTATCCCAACATTACCCCTGTCCTGCCCCGATCGTCCGCTCCTTCCGTGTGCCACACCCCCTCGTTAACCTCGTGTGGGATCCCCATGTGATCAGCTGTTTCTGGTTGTTGTCATTAGTCCTCTGTATTAAGTCCGCGTTTCAGTTTGTTCCCCCAGTCCGGTCATTGGGTGCATTCGAATTGCTTACAATGCTGGCTTAAAGCAACACATTCTGATCCTGACGCAATGCATTACGGTTAGATGCATTGCGACCTCTCACCC